GTCCATATTCACCAGCTACTCTGAGGGAGGAAAATGGGCAGGCTCCTCACATCAAGATTTATAGCTTCTCAAACAACAAAAGCTGGTGAGGTTGTGGAGAAACTGGAACCCTTATTCACTGTTGATGGAGGTGTAAAATAGTGCAACCACTGTAGAAGACGGTATGGCACTTTCTCAAAAAGTTGCAAATAGAGATACCATTTGACCCAGCAATTCCACCACTGGTGATATATCCCCAAAAGACCATAACTGACATCCAAGCAGATGTATGCACACCCATGTTTATCGCGGCTTTGCTCACAATAGCAAGGAGCTGAAAACAACCCAGGTGCCCATCAACAAACGAATGGATAGAGAAGCTGTGGTATATTCACACAATGGAATACTATGCTGCATTGAAAAACAAGGAACTCATGCAATATTATTCAAAATGGGTGAGCCTGGAGGACATTATGCTGAGTGAAATATCTCAGTCACAAAGGGACAAATGCTACACGATGCCACTGCTGTAAAATGGGACTGATATCAGGGTTGAGGTTAGACTGAGAAAAACTGGATAAATTGTGTATATGGCACTGAAACAGATAGAGAATAATTTAAAAGCAATGTATGATAGAGTATTATGGTTATCACAAGAGTCCACAATTAAGGTTGCATAGTGGAATGTACTTGGGGTGGTGGTGAGGGTGTGGGAGGATTATGTACCAGGGAGGGAGTTTTTCTTTTACTTTTCAAAGAAAGGAGCGAACTGGAGCCGGGGGGAGGGCTGGGCAGGGAGATAAGTGCAGCAATGAATGAATGGAAATCCAAAATCTCTGTAAATATTCATTAAAATTATGAAAATAAAATTTAAAAAAATTTATAGTTTCTGAAACCTGACGGAGCTGGAGGCTCACCATGAGTCAGAATCGGCTCCACAGCAGTAAGTGAGGGAGTGGGACATAAGGCTCTGGATTTGTTTCTGAGAAGAAGCAGCAACCAGAGTCAGCATTGCTGACAAAGCCTACAACAGCTTTCTCAAAGCTGACAAGTCCACCAGCAGCTCCATGAGAGAAGTCTCCGCCCATGTGGTTGGCAGTCTCTGAAAACTCACTGAAGGGTCATCTATGAGTTGGTTCCAACTCAACAGCATTGAGTTCTAAGGGATTCTGCCACCCTCCTCCCAGATCATGGTCTTCAAGACCTGCTGTTCTGCATACAAATAGCAGTGCCCAGAAGGTCAGGTGGTGGAGGGGTGGGGAGAATGAGCCCTGTAAAATGAAGTGACATGCTCACACTCTGAGTCAGAAGGGTTCAATATCCTCTGCTTAGAATGGACCACAGGAAGCCTTTCAGGCTCATAGTTATTGAGAAATGGTACCTCCTGGTTTGCAGCCTCTATTTTAGAAGCAAGAGTCTCAAGAGAATTAAACTGACCCCACTGTCAGTCCAGGCCAGTCAGGTCAGTGACCCTGAGGCTGCATCTCCTGAACTTCTGCAGGGGGCAGCCCCTTCCAGAATAGGAACTGTTCTCTTCTCATTTACTCTATCAGGAGAACTGGGTGGCTAAGTCCAAAGCTTGTTAGAACATGCAGCTCCAGTGCACACTGGGCAGAGAAAAATGTCCTGGGAGTTTGCTGAGGAAGTAGATTTTACAAAGATCTAGGTCAGGGGTTTGGGAAACTGCCTGTTTCCTGTCCTGATGCTCGAAGCTTCCCGAAGTACTAGTCATCCCACACTAGGCTCAGGTAAAGCAAGCTCTGCCAAATTCGTTACATGCCTTCCCAAACAACCACGGCAACTCAGACTTCCAAGGATGTCTCCAGAAGACCAGTGATTTCACCTCATTTTGCTCCCTCTTTCCCTGACTCCAGAGTCTTTTCTTGAATACTCACCTTACCACACTTTGGCCCCACTTCTCAGCCTGACCCTGCTCCACCCCAACCTCAGGTTAATACAGACATTCTACACTTCAGTGATTCCTGCTTTGACCTTGTCCCTTGGGGTGGTTACAAAGCCGAGAGACTGGACTAACTGAAATACAAGCTCGCTTCTTTTCATCGTGCTGTGCGATAGTGCACTTTTTTAACACTTTGAAGGTTTGTGGCGACCTTGCTTTGAGCAAGTCTCTAGGTGTCGTTTTCCACTAGCACGTTCTCACTTTGTGTCTGTGTCACATATCGGTAATCTTCACAGTACTTCAAACCTTTTCATAAAGCTACTTCACACTTAGTAGACTATAGTATAGTGCAAAGACAACTTTTATATGTAGTAGGAAACCAGTCATGTGACCACTTTTATTGCAATCTATTGGTTTATTGCAGTGGCCTGAACCCACAATGTCTCTGAGGTATGCCAATAACAGAGTGGAAAGTATGTTCTTAGAAGGTAGGAGTAGACAGGCTGGTGGTGTAGGTTACAGTGGACTTATTGTCTCCCTCCCCCACCTCCCACAACTATCCCTAGAAGCTTTCCTCCTTCCTTAATATAGAGGATTAGAAAGGGGTGGGGGGCCAAAGGAGAAGGAAAGGAAACAGGAGTCAGCGTAGGAAGAAAGGAGATGGGTTAGGAAGAGAGGTAGAGAAAGGGGGCAAGAAATGAAGATGAAGGGAGGGAAGAAGGGGAAGGCATTGAAGACAAGGGGGAGGAGGAGGAAGAGCAGAGGAAGAAGAGTTACTGAGGACTGAGGGGAAGGAAAGGAGGGAGAGCAGAGGAGGAAAAGGAGGTACTGAAGACAGGGAGGAGGGAGAGAAGGGAGAATGGAGGTGGGGGAGGAACTGAGGACAGGGAGGAGGGAGGGGAGGTACTGAGGGCAGGGAGGAGAGGAAGGAGGGAGAGAGGAGGAGGGAAGGGAGATACTGAGGGCAGGGGCAGAGGAGGGAGGGGTAGTACTGAGGACAGGGGAGGAGGGAGGGGAGGGAGGGGAGGAACTGAGAACAGGGGAGGAAGAGGGAGGGGAGGTTCTGAGGATGGAGGAGGAGGGAAAGTGGAGGAAAGAGTGATGGTATGAGGACAGGGAGGAGGAGGAAGGAGACCAAAAAAGGGAGAGAAGGACACTGGGGACAAAGGAGGAGGAGGGAGAGGTGAGGGTGGAGGGAGGAAAAGGGGAAGAGGAACATGGGAGAGATGGGAGGATACTGAGAACAGGGGAGGAGGAGGAAGGAGGGAAGGGTACTAGGGGCAGGGGAGGTGGAGAGCAGGAGGAGGGAGGGGAGAATAGGGAGAAAAGAGTAGAAGGAGGAGGAGGAGGAGGAGGGAGAAGAGGAGTAGAGAGGGATGAAAGGATATTGATAGAACAGAGAGCAAAGGTAGATTTGTGGAAAAATTAAGCTGAAGAAACAGAATGGAGGAGATCCAGCCCCAGAGGGTTTTTAATAAAGGGGGTCAACCAATGGCAACTTGTCTCTTTAATCTTGGCACAGATTCTGGGAACTAAAATGCAGATTTCTGGTGAAACCAGGGTCCTAGAACAGTTTCTGGAGGAGAGAGACATGCGTGTCAAAGTTTGCCATTTTAGAAATAAACTTCAACTTTGTTTAAAAGGGATATAAGATTAGGTATTATTGTCATGACAGGAATCCAGAACGAAGGCTGTATAGTGGAGTGGACTTGGGGTGAGGGACTGTAAAACAATGAAAGAATTTTTCTTTTACTTTTCAAAGAGAAGAGTGAAGTGGGGGATGTTGGCAGGGAGAAAAGTGCAACAATGAATGAATGGAAATCCAAAGTCTTTGTAAACTTTCATTAAAATTAATTTTTTAAAAAGTACAATTTTTTTAAAAAATAATTTTAAAAATGAACTTCAACTTTCATAGGACTCTCCTTTCATCTATATTCTATTTCTTCTGATTCAGATGAGGGTGATAAAATCAAGCACATGGTGCCAGCTAGTGGATTAGAATTTAATTAGGAACAATCTCAAAGCCACTCACAGCTGGTTGCAAACTCCTGCTGCCCTTTCACAAAGACCTCGCAGAGAGAAAGGAGGCTCAGGGCTTTTATCATACCACTACTGTCCAGCAGGGAGAATTGATTTTTCAGCCATTACAGTCACTTTTGATTCCTCTATTAATGTTTCAGCCTAACCTGGGGCCAGGAATCAATCCACAAATGCTAAAACTTCATAACCTTCCTCCCACACCCTTAGATGTCTTTATAACTTTGGGCAAACTCTATCAAGGACAAGAGTCACCAGCTATTACTCAGTAAGTTTCCGCAAGAATCACCATTTATCCCTGCGCTGTCCTCCCCAAATGTGCTAACCCAGCTTTAGAAAAGGCAAAAGCTTTGTTTCTGTCTCTGCCAGAGATTAACTAGCCTGACCCTTGGCCAGTCACCGTAACTCCCTGCCCCAACCTGAACCCACAGCTCGGATCCACTCCCACTCCTCGATCTCCACACCCTTCACCCACTTCTCACCCAACTCAACACCCTCAGCCTCTGGTGCTTGAGGTTAAGGGCATTAATTACACGCAGAAATAAGGGGTGTGTGCGCGCCCAAGCACACGTACGTTCAGAGCCGCGGAGTCTTGATGAAGAAAAACAATGATTAAGGATGAGAGGCATCATCCTTCTGATTTGGAGGTAAAATTTAATGGTATAAGGTCTCACCCCTAAAGAAAAGCTGTCACCACTGTCTGTGGTTCTGTGAACTGTGTCTAGTGCCAATCGGTTCTCTCTAACGCGCACGTGGATCTGAGGCACACTATTTTAAATCCAGATTCCTTTTCTCCTCGCTGTTGACCAAGTTCCTTCCCTAGCCACCTCCTCCAGAGCAGAAGGTACTCCGAAAACTCCCGAAAGAAATTCAACCCCAAACCCGGACTTCATTCACACCATTAGAAGGACGTGCATTCCAAAGTGAGTCGCAGCATCCTTTCTGAAAACTGTGATATCTGATTGTATGCATCTTCTTCCACACTTCTTGGAATCATTTTAGTTAGTCTGTCAAGAGTCCCGCAGGAAACCTAAGTGTGGCTGCGCTCTGGGACTCTTAGAAAAGAAAGAGATACAAACTTTACCATTGAGAGAGGCTGGACTGGAAGGCTGTTCCTTTAAGATCACAAGCAGCAGGACAGTGGCTGCGTGCAGGCTGCTCTGGGGCATCTTTAGAAAACCTGCCAGGCAGCGCCTGCTGCCCTGTGGCTCCCGCTCTTTCCGACTCTGGGGTCGTGCAGCTCTCCGGGCGGCAGGGCGCGCACCTGGACCTCGTGGGGCGCACACCAGGATCGTGTGCTCGCTGCCTGGCGCCAAAGCGAGCACGTCCGCTCTTTGGGCTCCAGCTCCAGCTACCCCGGGGCTGGTTTTTATGGAGAGTCTCAGCCCCAAACAAATGATGTCATCATGGGGGGGGGGAGCAGAGAGTGAGGGGAGAACGCCCTGCCTCCTGAAGGGCTGGCGCCCTGGTTCTAGGTGAGTTGTAGTCCTGACTCAGCGAATGCGCCGCACTCTGGGTGGGAGCAGCAGGTAGACCCAGATCAGACATGCTGGACTCAGCCCTACAGCTCCGGTGACCTTGTCCTTGTTTGTCACTCCTGCTACTCATTAGCCCCCCAGCAGAGCACAATGCCATTTGAACAAGAACTTTCTTTCTTCAGGGTCCTGACTGAGTGCCCGCTCGGGCTGGACACAGGTTAGGGATCGAGGGACCTCATTCCAATCCGGAATTCCTGCAGATTGTACAGTCCTTCCTGATTAGCTTCTTATCTGGGAAGTTTAGACTCAAAGAAATCAGTTGAGAACCAGGTAGCCTGCAAAGGATGGGGTGGGGGGGAAGGTGCCACTGCACAACCTAGCAATTCGAATTTCACCCAATAACAAACACATTACAAGACAAGGTTTGTTCTAATTTTATACTAAAGAAGTCCATCCTCATTAAACCTGGGTGGTGATGGTGGAAGAGGATCCCTTCGCTGGGTGGGACCCCTGGCATATGCCAGACGCTCTGTCAGACATGTTGCATGTTGTTGAGATCTAAATTCTGCCTCAGTGCATGCTATTGGGACCTGTTACTTCTGTCCACTTTTTTTTTCTTAAACTTACACTTTAAATGGGGCGCTGAGGCTTAGCCTTTAGGGAATTGCCCTACTACCCAAAAGCAACGCTTCTCTCTTGGACGGAATCCACCCACGTCTGCAAGAGAAAGGAGGGCTATCTCCTTCCATGTGGTTTCTAGCTGCCAAAAACCCACTCAGAGGGTCAGCTATGAGTCAGTTCCTACATGACAGCAATGAGCACACACACACACTTAAAATATATGCATACACAATCAAAGCAAACACGTTTCAGATGTTCCAGAATCTTTTGTCATCTGTGTCTTGTTGTTAAAGGCAACATCAAAGATCTTATCAACTTGCTGTGTGCCGGCTTCAACCTCAGTACCACTGAGTGGAATTCCAACACACAGTGGCCCTGTGAGACAGAGTAGCCCTGGGCTTTCCAAGGTGATGCTCTTTACTGAAGCTGACTGTGCCACGTCTTTTTCTGCAGAGTAACTGTGGTCTCAAACTGTCAGCCTTTCCCTTCACAGCTGAGGCACTTTCACCACTGTACCACGAGGGTTCCTTGGCTTCTCTCAAACCAAACCAGACCAACCCTACCACCATCCAATTGATTGTGACTCACGGAGACCTCTGTCAGGTAGCTGAGGCTGTTAAATCTTTGTAGGAAAAGATTACTCATCAGTCAACCAAGGAACTGCTAGTAGATTCGAACTGATGACCTTTTATTTAGCAGTCCAGTTTATAAGATATAACACCACCAGTACTATTTTGTGCTGCTCCTAATACACTTAATTCTTTTTGTTGCTGTTAACTGCCACTTGCTAGTCTTACCACCACTGTCATTTGTGTTTCTGGTTTCTCTCAGTTCCTGATAGATTGTGTCTGTCCCACTTGGTAGCATTGTTCCCTCCCTGCAAACGCTGCCCAGAGCATGCAGTTGGCAGAGGAGTGCCCAGCCCAGCCCTGGCTTTGTGACCAGGACTCTTTCTTCGCCACGGTGGCTAGGGACCAGTCCTTCCCTCTCTCAGGTCTGCAAACTCCTCAGATGGTCTCACCAGTGAAGCCATGTGTCTGAGCAGGTAACACCACAGCTCCAGGTGTGTTACTGCTCTGCCTCAAACAGCTCAGCTCTTTGGACTAATAAAGGGCTTTGAAGTCTTTGTAAGGAAGTAGTTATAAAGTGTTCTGGAATTCTCACTCTCTGAAATGTCTACAATTTGTTATAATCCACACAGTGCACATTCCAAACAGACCCATTAGTAACAACAGTTAGAAAGCCAACTTCATGACAAGCACTTCCAGTTGAAAGCCAGTTTGAGGATGGTCTTTTCTGCCTGCAGCTCCTGATCTAGAGCTGTGAGGGAGCAGCAATGTGCCTAAGACGCTCTCTCTCTCTTAGGTCATCCAGGGCAGTGTGCCCAGGCAATGGAATGTGCAAGAGGAACAGCAGAACTTGGGTAGGAACTGCTGTGTGTTCACAGGTGCAGAAGCTGAACGTAGAGAGGTGAAGTCACTTACCCCAAAGCTCACCAGTAGCTAATGTGAATGAAGCCACTCACATACATTTTATTACTTCTGTTCCAGGAGTTTTCCCATGAAATCTGGCCAAACCTTAACTTCAATTTCTCCTTAAACTTGTACCTCTAAGTGCTGTTCAGGGAGATTCAGAGATGTGGCATTTAAACAAGGAAGCAAGGCATGGATTTATTAGGACAATAAGGCTAGTAAGTAAAGAAGAGGGTTGGGCTCTTTACTCCAGGTCTAGATTTGAGACCTAGTTAATTAGTAAAGAATGGATAGCAGTTAAGAAGGAATTGAGACTATCAACTGAAACCCAGTGACCAGGTGGCCTAGTGGTAAGGAGTTGCCCTGCCAGCTGAAAGTCAGGAAGTTCAAATCCACCAGCTGCTCTGTGGAAGAAAGATAGACAGTTTCTCATGCTATTTACAGTTTCTGAAAATCTACTGACAGGTCAGCTATGAGTTGGTTCTGACTCAATGGCACATAACAATAATAACAACCATGAACTGAGGGCTTGAGTACCTTAAAAAAATCCTTTTAAACTTCTCTTAGGGGACCAGAGAGGTAATAAATAAATAAATAAATAGATAGATAGATAAATAAATAAATAAATGTATAGGGAATGGAGTGACCAAACCTCAATAGAACAATACTTAGGGTAGATGTCAAGCACCCTTCTACAAACAGCACTTATTTGACCATCTTAAACCCCCAACTCTGGGAACCCTTCCCAGCCACAGCATCCCAAGACTTGTGTGAATTAACGTGTAAAGGCTTGCTTTACCATTGTCAGATGGAGCTGTTAACAACCAATAAATTATCTATTACTCAATGCATTAGGAAAGGGACCATTTGCACTGGAATCATGGCAGCCAGCCATCAAGTGGCATGCCCAGATGGAAGATTCCAGGGAGCAGCACCCTTCTGAAATGTCACATCTAAACGGACATGAGGCTAGGCACCATGATTCAAAAGGACAGCACTGTGGAAGAAAGAATGTGAGATGTGATGTTGAGAGGCCAGAGTTGAAGGAACTGCAACACACTTATTCCTGGGCAGCGCAGATAGAGGGAAGCCGCTGGGAACTTCAGTTTCCTTATCTGTAAAGTGGAGATGGTAATCCTGCCCCAGGACATAGCAAAATTGTTTTATGGCAAGAATGAAAGAGAGAGAGAGAGAGAGAGAGAGAGAGAGA